GGGGGGCGGGTGCTGTGGGGCAGGGCACTGCGAGGGATTCCTGCACACGAGGGCATCGGGGTGGCATGGGGCACACACACACATGCAGCATTGGGGGGGTCACAGGCCCTGGGGCGGGCAGGAGGGGTGTCCTTTGCCCCCTGACCTTTGCCCTGTGGCAGCAGATCCAGACCCAGGTCACGCCCCACGCCATCATCTTCCTGCCCCACACGGAGGGGATGGAGATGCTGCTCTGCTACGAGGACGAGGGCGTCTACGTCAACACCTACGGGCGCATCATCAAGGACGTGGTGCTGCAGTGGGGGGAGATGCCCACCTCCGTGGGTGAGCCCGGACGCCTGGGTCCTCCCCAGCGGTGGGGGGATAGAGCGGGGGGGCTGGGAGCCCGGACTCCTGAGTTCTCTCCCTGGCTCTGGGAGGGGAGTGGGGACTGGTGGTTAGAGCAGGGGGGCTGGGAGCCAGGACTCCTGGGTCCATTGAGGAAGGGTCTCCCCCATGACTCTCTCCCCCCTCCCCCCAGCGTACATCTGCTCCAATCAGATCATGGGCTGGGGCGAGAAGGCCATCGAGATCCGCTCCGTGGAGACGGGGCACCTGGACGGGGTTTTCATGCACAAGCGGGCCCAGCGCCTCAAGTTCCTGTGCGAGCGCAACGACAAGGTGGGCACTAGGGGGCGCCGGGCTGCAGCGGGCGGGGGGGGCTCATAGCTAGTTCTGGCCCCAGTGTCCCCGAGGGGTCCCTGGGTAACCGGCCGCTCCGCCCCAGAGGTGGGCGCATCTCAGCGCCGGGCGAGGGGTCCCCGTGTCCCCGGCCGCCCCGCCCCAGAGGTGGGCGCATGCCAGGCTTACTCCTGCTCTGCTCCCCCCCAGGTTTTCTTCGCCTCCGTCCGCTCCGGGGGCAGCAGCCAGGTTTACTTCATGACACTCAACAGAAACTGTATCATGAACTGGTAAGGCCCCGCCCCCAGCACTGGCCCCGCCTCTGGAGGGAAGGGGCGGGGCCCCCTCAGACACTGGATCCCTCTGCCGGAGACTCCGCCCCCACAGCCTGTGAGGATCAGGACTGACCAATCAGCAGAACCGATGCCTTGACCGCCTTCCCCCCCACCTGTGTCTGATGCTGCTTGGGGGGGCTCTCCATGGTGACAGTGTGTCCCCCCCCCGACTGACTGCCCCCCACTTCGCTCGCCCCTCCCCTGACTCCGTGGGGACCTGCTCTGTTCATAGCCTGAGCGCCGGGCGAGGGGTCCCCGTGTCACCAGCCGCCCCGCCCCAGAGGTGGGCGCATCGCAGCACCGGGCAAGGGGTCCCCGCGTCACCAGCCGCCCCGCCCCAGATGTGGCCGCGTCTCAGCGCCAGGCGAGGGGTCCCCGTGTCACCAGCCGCCCCGCCCCAGAGGTGGCCGCATCTCAGCGCCGGGCGAGGGGTCCCAGGCATGTGTGGGGTGACAGGCAAACTCCCCTGTGAAACACGAGGAGGGAGGTGGCCGGAGGTGGAGGCGGGGGGACCCAGTGCTGTCGCTATGGGGCGCTGCACTGGCCACAGCCCCTGTCGGGGGCACTCAGAACGGCCATGGGGCGCAGACCCATCGCTTTGTGCCAAGTGCGCTTTGCTTAAAGGTGGGGGCGTGGGGCGGGGCCAGGGCCTTTCATCCACCTGGGTAGGAGCCGCAGTGGTGGTGGGGAACCCCTAAAGCAGCCCCCCGACTGCCTTGTGTGCCCCCAGAACTCCTCCCCCTGGGCCAGGCAGACAGGGGCGAATGTACAGGGGGGACACAGGGGGGGCCTGGTCCCTCCTGGCTCTGTGTATATTTTGCTTTAATTATTTTTATTTTGTAACAATGATTCATTAACAAAGCACTTTAAAGCCCTGACTGCGTCTCATGGGGGGCTGGGAACGCCCCCCAGGGGTGGATTTGGGGTAATTCTCAAACTGACCCAGGAGAGTTGGTCCTAGGGTGGGGACTGGCTGGCTCGGGGGGCAAGGAATGGGGCAGGGACCTGTCCCCTCTAGGGGGCGCTGGCTCCCACCCGGCCCCATAGGAGCCCAGCTGCAGCAGCAGTGCAAGGGTTAAACAATGGGGGGGGCACGGAGCCAGCTGATTCCCCTCCCTGCCCCCCTGACGCTGCCTGGGGGCCCCCCGAGAGCCATATGGAGTGTGCGGGGGGGAGTTATGGAGTTCATGGGACCCCCCCCCCAGTATTCAGTTTCCTCTGTACGTTGCTTGCATCTGTCTATCAAACCCCAGACTCCCCCTCCTGCGCCGTGGCCTTGGAAATTTCATCTGTTAATAAAAAACCAAATTCTATGACTTTCCCCGCCTGGTCCGGCGTTCTTTACCCCCTGGGGGCGGGCAGGGGGCAACCGGGGGCGGGCACCGAACAGCAGGAAGCCGGTGTCCCTGGGCGGAGTTGGCGGCACCCCGCTGAGCTCGGGCAGCTGGGGCATGGGCCGGGGCGGGGGACGACAGCCAGGGCACACTGAGGAAGTGGAGTTCCTGGGGCCCGTCCACGCTATCCTGTCAGGACCCCGAGTGAACTCTCGTCCTCATCCTGAGGGTCCTTATCACCCCAGTGCCTCCTACCTGTAGTAACCTCCAGACCAGTCCCCCGGAGACTCGGGCCGGTGCCGCAGAGAGTTTCAGCAGAACGGTGTCGGTGAGAAGTGGGGATTGTTTAAGAAAATCCCCCAAAGCCCCCAGGAAAGAGGTTAAGAAGCCAGCCTGGCATACAGGGGAAGTGACAGCAGTGTTGAATGTACGACCACCGGAAGCAGGGGGATGTCGTGACACGTATAAACCAGAACTGTAGGGCACTGATGAGGAAAGCTAAAGGCCAGAGGGAGAACTGGGCAGCCGGCGCATTGTCATTGTATCGGGGACAAACCGAAGCCTGACAAGGGGTTAACAAACATTTCAAGGGAGCGTTGGAGGTGAAGTGGCCGGTTAACACCCCTCCAGTCATGGGGGGGATGCTGCTGTCCGAAGCCGTCAATCCGGCATGTCAGTCCCTGGTGTTTGGTGTCTGGCGGAGTGACAAGTTTCAGCTCCCGGCTCATCTCTGGGCGGTGGGGGGCAGGTTTGCTTTGCGGACCATGCCCGAGAGCTCAGACGGAGGGCGATTGCTTTGGGAGAAGGGTTCGCCCACCGGTGACCGGGCGGTTTTTGTTTTTGATCGTTTTCCTGCGTGAGTTCAACCCTGGGGGCGCTGGCCTGGTTCCCCCCACGTAATGGCTGGTGGGGTATTCAGCACCCTGGAGGCGGTACCCCAGGCGGATGTGGGACCCCGGATCTGGAAATGAAGGGGGGGGTTGTGCCCCTTGTTCTGGCAGGGGCTGGCACCCCTTGGAGTTGGTGGGTCCTGGTCTGCGGGGCGCTGGCGCCCGATGAGTCTGGAGAGGTTCGGGGGGGGGTTAAAGGCCAGAAAAGGGGCTTTGAGAGAGATTTATTTCCAGGATGTGGCCCCCATCGAGTCTGGGTTCTGTTGAATGATACAGCGACCCTAAGAACATCCCAATGTCCCCCAGCCCCCATGGCCACTTCGCCTCGAATGGTCCCTCGAAATGTGTGTTTAGCTATGCGGCTGAGTCCCTCTCCCAGCCTGCAGAAAGGCTCTGGGGGGCGCGAAAGCTCGCCCCTCCCACCCATAACACACATTCCCTCCCCCGCCTCGTCTCGCTAACGAGAGTTTCAAAAGAGGTGGCCGGGGAGCTCGCTGAGCCGGTCCTGTGGATCGTCGGCGACTCCCAGCACTGGGCAAGATCCCGGCGACGGGACGAAACCCACCGATGTGCCGGTGTTTGAAAAGGGCCGACGGGCCGAGCCGAGTATTTCGAGCCCCGTCAGCCCGACCTCGATCGAGGGCAAGAGACTGGAGCGGCTCGGCGCAGCACTCGAGTCATATAGATGGTAAGGTAATGAATGCACATGGGCATGGGGTCACGGCACAGAACTGGGCGAGCCGGCCTGAGCTCTGTTTCTGACGCGCACCCAAGCGGGGTCGCTAGAGGTGACCGTGGTGACGGATTAGACACGGACTCCCATGGTACTGCGGGGCGTTTTGATTAAAACACTCGCCCGATAGAAAAGTAACGCGGCCCGTATTGACCGAACGAAAGGCTGGTGACCGATAGGTCTCAAAGGTACCTGGAAATGCGGCATCATCAGCGAGCGGCTCGCCTTCGGCCGGGCTCCCGCCGGGCTCGGGTCTCGGAACAGTGCTATGTAACAGCTTTCCCGGTGATCTGCAAGAAAACATAAAATCACCCCGATAAAGTTTGCAGGTGACCCAAAAATTGGGGGAGTGGGAACAAGGGAGAGGCCGGATCCCCGGTTCAGAGCGATGTGGATCACAACCCAATACTGTGGTTTGAATGCGGCTAAATGCCACCGTACACAACACGGAACGAGGCACGTCAGCCGTACACGGGACGGGGTGTCTCTCCTGGGGAGCAGCGACTCTGAAGCAGATTTGGGGGGCGGGGAGGGTAATCAGCGGAACGTGAGCTCCCGGGGCAACGCTGTGACCAGAAGGGCGAACGCCATCCCGGGCTGCGTAAGCGGGAATCTCGCGTAGGGGCAGAGAGGCGATTTCACTGCTGGATCGGGCCCAGACGGAGCCCACAGTTCCAGCCGGAGGGTGATTACATCAGAGAAGAGCCAGGAGAAGGATTAAAAACCCTGCCTGCGAGTGAGAAACCCCTGGAGCTCAGTTAGCATAATGAAGAGGCGGCGAAGGGGTGATGGATCCCGGTCTGTAAGTACCGACGCGGGGAGCGAATCTTTCACTAGCAGAGGCAGGTCTAGCCGGGTCCGAGGGCCGGGAGTTGGAACCAGATGAATTCGGATTGGAAACAAGATGGAAAACGTCTAACAGTGAGGGGGGCTGGTGAGTGAGAGCAGGGGGGGCTGGGAGCCAGGACTCCTGGGTTCTCTCCCCGGCTCTGGGAGGGGAGTGGGGGCTGGTGGGTTAGAGCACGGGGGGCTGGGAGCCAGGACTCCTGGGTTCTCTCCCCGGCTCTGGGAGGGGGGTGGGGGCTGGTGGGTCGGGCTCTCTCTCTAACATGCTCTCTGGCCTGTCAGCCCCTGGGATGGAGGGGAACAGGTGCAGCGAGGGGGGGGGTGAAAGTGACCTGATGCCGATGGATGGGGGGGGATCAGGAGATCCAGTGTCCGTCCCACCCCGGAAGCCGGAATCAACCTCAAAATAACTTGCCCCTATTTAATCAGCGGTGGCCGGCTGGGGGATTCGGCCGTGATGCAGGGCCTGGGGCTGCTGCTCTGCGCCCTGCTGTGTGTGGGGGTCAGTGGTAAGTTGGGGGGCAGAAACCTGAGCCCTCTGGGGGCCCTGACATCTGTGGGGGGCCGATGGAGCCAGGCCCTGGTTCCCCGACGGGGGGGGGGATGCTGGGGGATAATCGGGAGGGGTTAAACCAGGACTGGGGCAGGGTGGGGGACACAAAGGTGGTGGGAGGGCAGGGCTGGGGGCAGCTGCTCCCCACACACCCAGGCCTGACCCCTGCCTGCCCCACAAGGGGCCCCGGGCGGGAATGAGGAGCTGCGGCTCTACGAGAAACTCTTCGCCAACTACGACAAGAACACACGGCCGGTGATACGCCCCGACGACACGGTGCCCGTGCAGATAATGCTCACACTGACCAACCTCATCTCGCTGGTGAGACGCCCCCCGCGTCCGGCCACCGCCCCCTGCTCCCACCGCAGCACCCCTCACTCCCACTCCGCCGTGCCCGGCCCAGCCGGCGTCCCCCGCTGCCACCACACTGCCCCCGCTCCCGCCCCGCTGCCCCCCACTCCCACCCCCACCCCAGCGCCCCTCACTCCCAACCCGCTCCCGCTGCCCCCACGTCCAGCCCGGCTGGCACCCCCCACAACCTTCACATCTGGCCCGGCCGCCGCCCCCTGCTCCCGCCCCGCCGCCCCCGACCCAACCTGCAGCCCCCGCGAACATCCCTCGCTCCCACCCTGCTGCCCCCAAAACCACGCTGACCGTCTCCATCCTGTTGCAGAATGAAAAGGAGGAGACTCTGACCACCAATGTCTGGATAAAGTTTGTGAGTAACCCCTCGCCCCCACTGGGCCTCCTGCCCCACTCAGGCCCCCTCAGACTCCTTGTTGATGCCCTCAAGTGACCCCCGACTCTGAGCTCACCTGTCTCTCCCCCCACCCCCATTGCACTTACGTCCTGAGGCTGAGGATAGAACCCAGGAGTCCTGGCTCCCAGCTGCTCCCTCCCCCCACACTAATCCCCCCTTCCGGCGACTGACCTTGTCCTGCAGGGGGGCAGCTACTATCCCCTGCCCCACAGCCCTGCCGGTGCCCCTCACTCCTGACCCGCAGCCCCCGCTAGCCCGGCCCCTGCCCCCCCCAGCCCTTCCGGTGCCCCTCACTCCCGACCCGCAGCCCCTGCTAGCCCAGCCCTGGGCTCCTCACACACAGCTCTGTGGCGGGGGGTGCAGGGGGTCCCCCAGCCTCACCCCGTCTCTTTGCCCCCAGGAATGGGTGGACTATCGGCTGAATTATAGCAACAGTGAGTTCGAAGGGATCCGCTCCCTGCGCGTCCCCTCCGACATGGTCTGGCTGCCGGACATCGTCCTGGAGAACAAGTGAGACCCGGGAGGGGGGCCTGGCCGACGCCCCGAGGCTGTGGGGGGAGCTGCATGACTTAGGGTCTCGGGGACCTTGGGAGATTCGGGGAGAGGGCCGGGAAACGTCCGCCCTCCTGTCTCCGGCGGTCCCAGCTCCAGCTCCTCGAACCCGGGACAGGGCCGTGACTCGGAGAACCAGCGGTTAATCGTGAGCCGAGCCAGCGTCTGGCCCCACTCGCTAACGGGTCGGTGGTCTTGGTGCAGGGGGGCCTGAGTGTGTTTGGCCCGCGCCTGACGTCACCGTTCGCAGAACGGCCTGACGAGGGGAAAGTCCCCCCTCCCCTCCCTGCCCGGTTATAAAACACCGATTTATCTGCCTGGCCGGAGATGTTGTTTTCCTCCTGCTCTCGCCAGCTACCCGGCCAGTCCACGGAAATGCCGTCTGGGCCAGTCCCGCCGCTCCGGGGCAGGCCTGCAGCCTGGCTCGGCTGGATCCATCTGGGTGCTCCGAGGACCCCCCATCCCCACCGCGAGCCCCCCAAACCTCCGCCCAGCTGCTGCCCGGGGTCAGAGCCCACTTGGCAACCACACCTTTGTTCTGCAGGTGCCGCCGAGCCCGTGTCCCATTCCCTGGCACCAACCACCCGGCGTGGGGCTCCTTTGGGTCCGGCTTCGAGAGCCCTCTAAGCTAGAGAGGGGCCAGGGACCGGACCCTGGATCCCCACAGCTCGGGCCTGGTGTTACCGGCAGCTTGGCTACTGATTGCTTGTGCCAGCGGCCGCTGCTTTCGTTCAACGCTCTTGCTGCGATTCCCAAATGAGTTGAGACGAGGCCACTTTCTGGGTGCAGAGCGGTCGGCCTCCGTCCTTTGCAGTGGCTGGTTACTTCCTGCTTTCAGGTGACCCCACGGCCGATGTGGCCAGATTCCCACGGCTGGTATCTGGGCTGGGGCCGTACTTTGCCATTCTTTCGGTCACAGCTTGTCGAATAGCTCAGACAGCTGCTTCCTCGGCTCTGTCGCTTTCCATCCACTTCCTTCGTTGTGTCTGCTAGTCCGATCCCCACGGCCACACCGAAAGTCAAGCAGAACCGTCTCTGCAAGTGGCTCATGTGCCACGGACGTGTTCCCGTCTTTCTTTGCTGCTGTGTTGCGGGAGATACCGGTTACGTAGCTGTCCCATGGCTGAGGACTCTTCAGCCCCACTTCCCTGCATCCACCCCTGTGGAATTCATCCCATCTCACAGGCGGTGGCGGCAAATTCGTTTGGATTCCTTCCACTTAATCAACTGGGCTCTGCAATAGATTGCTTCATCGTACATGACCCCGGCCCTGTCTTGGCCCAGAGCATGGGGCATAACTCGAAAAAGAGTCCTACAAAAAGCAGATACTCAGTCAAATTACCAAGGATGATTATTTTAAAAAAAAAAAAAAACCCATAAACACATAGGGACAAAATTAGAAAGGCCAAGGCACAAAACGAGACTCAACTAGCTAGGGAGATAAAGGGCAACAAGAATGCATTTTACAACTACGTTACAAGCAAGAGGACTTCCTGCACTTAGGACGGAAGTATCCCATGCACTGTTACAGACTAGGGACCGAATGGCTAGGTAGCAGTTCTGCAGAAAAGGACCTAGGGGTCACAGTGGATGAGAAGCTGGATATGAGTCAGCAGTGTGCTCTTGTTGCCAAAAAGGCTAATGGCATTTTGGGCTGTATAAGTAGGGGCATTGCCAGCAGATCGAGGCACGTGATCGTTCCCCTTTATTCGACATTGGTGAGGCCTCATCTGGAGTACTGTGTCCAGTTTTGGGCCCCACACTACAAGAAGGATGTGGAAAAATTGGAAAGAGTCCAGCGGAGGGCAACAAAAATGATTAGGAGGCTGGGGCACATGACTTACGAGGAGAGGCTGAGGGAATTGGGATTGTTTAGTCTGCAGAAGAGAAGAATGAGGGGGGATTTGATAGCTGCTTTCAACTACCTGAAGGGGGGTTCCAAAGAGGATGGAGCTCGGCTGTTCTCAGTGGTGGCAGATGACAGAACAAGGAGCAATGGTCTCAAGTTGCAGTGGGGGAGGTTTAGGTTGGATACTAGGAAACACTATTTCACTAGGAGGCTGGTGAAGCACTGAAATGGGTTCCCTAGGGAGGTGGTGGAATCTCCTTCCTTAGAGGTTTTTAAGGCCCGGCTTGACAGAGCCCTGGCTGGGATGATTTAGTTGGGAATTGGTCCTGCTTTGAGCAGGGGGTTGGACTAGATACCTCCTGAGGTCTCTTCCAACCCTGATATTCTATGATTCGATGAAGACCAAGGACAGGGTAGGCCCATTACTCATTGAGGAAGGAAAGATAATGATAAAAAAACCGCAGCTGTGGCCGATGTGTTAAATGCCTTTTTTTGTTTCGGTTTTCACCAAACAGTTAGCGGTGACCAGCCGACTAACACAGTGAACGTCGGTGTAAAGGGGGAAGGATCTGAGGCTAACATAAGGGCAGAACAAGTTAAAAATTAATTAGACAAGTCCGATGTCTCCAAGTTGGCAGGGTCTGACAAAACACATCCTGGGATACTCAAGAAACAGGCTGAAGAGGTCTGAGCCATCTGTGACGATCTTTGAGTACACATGGCGGTGGGCGCACAACTGGTTGGAAAACCGTTCCCAGAGAGTAGTTATCAGCGGTTCACAGTCAAGCTGGAAGGGCATCACGAGCGGGGTCCCCCTGGGAATCTGTCCTGGGTCTGGTTCTGTTCAATATCTTCTTAAATGATTTCGTTTAGGTTGGACATTAGGAAAAAGTGGTTAAAGGCTGGAACAAATGACCTGGGGAGGTCGTGACGTCTCCATCGTTGGAGGTTTTTAAGAACAGGTTGGACCAACACCTGTGGTGGACGGTCCTGCCTCTGTGTAGGGGGCTGGACTAGATGGATTTAGACGCGTTCTGCCGATTTGGGTTAAAGTCAGACTACGCCCTTTTTGCGATTGGGTTATGTCGGCAGAGGTGCGGCTGGTGTCCCCCTCCCTGGCGTTCCCGACCCCTTTTCGGTCTGTCCCTGCTTCAGTGGTTCAGCCTCACGCATCCCAGTCCACCCCTTTCAGGGTATCCCAAAAGCCGCCCCGGCCACAGAAAAGTCTTTCCAGGGACGCCGCCAAAAGTCAGGGTCTCCCCCAGCTGGATTCTCCACTGAGATGAAGGCTTCAGGCCAAAGGGCAGGTTGGGGTGGGTGCCGATCTTTTGGGGTGTACAGGCTTTGGTGTGTCAATATATGAGGGTGTCTCATGGGCACCAAGGGAAGTGTGGGAAGTGTCTGGGCTGCAGGGTCTTTGGGGGGCCCCCCTTGCTGACGCCCCCTTTCCCTTCTCACACCCCCCTCCCACAGCATCGACGGGCAGTTTGAGATCGCCTACTACGCGAACGTGCTGGTGTACCCTGGGGGGGCCATGTACTGGCTGCCCCCCGCCATCTACCGCAGCACCTGTGCCATCGAAGTCACCTACTTCCCCTTCGACTGGCAGAACTGCTCCCTTGTCTTCCAGTGAGTGAGATACGCCCACCTCTGGGGCGGGGCGGCCAGTTACACGGGGACCCCTCGCCCGGCGCTGAGACGCGCCCACCTCTGGGGCGGGACGGCCGGTTACCCAGGGACCCCTCGCCCGGCGCTGAGACGCGGCCACCTCTGGGGCGGGACGGCCAGTTACACTGGGACCCCTTGCCCGGTGCTGAGACGCGGCCACCTCTGGGGCGGGACGGCTGGTTACCCAAAGACCCCTCGCCTGGTGTTGAGACGCGGCCACCTCTGGGGCGGGGCGGCCGGTTACCCAGGGACCCCTCGCCCGGCACTGAGACGCGGCCACCTCTGGGGCGGGGCGGCAGGTTACTCAGGGACCCCTTGCCCGGCGCTGAGATGCAGCCACCTCTGGGGCGGGGCGGCCGGTTACTCAGGGACCCCTCGCCCAGTGCCAGGGCTGACCCTAAGGAGAGGGCGCCCCCTGCTGACCCCCCATGTGGCCGCAGGTCCCAGACGTACAGCGCCAACGAGGTTGAACTGCAGCTCTCAATCAATGAGGAGACGGCCCGTCCCTTTGACGAGATCGATATAGACCCCGCCGCCTTCACAGGTATGGGGGGGGTGGGAAAGAGGGTGTCTGCCAGCCCCCTCTGAACAGACCCCCAAGGGGGCAGAGGGTGTCTGCCACAGCTCCCCCCAGGGGCAAATGTCTGCCAGGTCCCCCCCCAGTGGGGGTCTCCCCGAAGGGCAGGGGTGTGCTCCCCACAGCACCCGCTGCCTCCCACTGCCTCCCGCCCTGCAGAGAACGGGGAGTGGGCGATCCGGCACCGGCCGGCCTGGAAGGTGCTGCACCCGGAGCTGGGCCGGGAGGCACTCGGCTTCCAGGAGATCCGCTTCTCGCTCATCATCCAGCGCAAGCCCCTCTTCTACGTCATCAACATCATCGTGCCCTGCGTGCTCATCTCCTCCCTCGTCGTGCTGGTCTACTTCCTGCCCGCCCAAGGTGAGCCCGGCCACGGGAAACCCCGGCCAGCCACGGGGACACCCCGCCCGGCCACGGGGATGCCCTGCCTGGCCTCAAAGATACCTAGCTGGCCACAGGGAAACCCTGCCCGGCCACAGGACAAGGAGAGATGCTCCCTACCACACCCACGTGGGGGGCACATTTGCTAGCACTAGGAGCAAACGTTAGGGGCATGAACCCCAATCTCTCCTGGCAGCCCCTCTCTGGGGGGCCCCAGGGCAGAAAGCCCCAGGCCCTGGGCAGGAGGGGGGCATAGCAGGATATCGGAGGGAAGCCAAACGGCCCCATGTCACCCCTGTTCTCTGCCCCTGGCAGCCGGTGGCCAGAAATGCACCCTCTCCATCTCAGTGCTGCTGGCTCAAACTGTCTTCCTCTTCCTCATCGCCCAAAAAATCCCAGAGACCTCGCTCAGCGTCCCCCTCATCGGCAAGTGAGTGACACCCCCCATCCTGCTTCCCTGGGAACCAGGACTCCTGGGTTCGCTCCCCGGCTCTGGGAGAGGAGTGGGGGCTGGTGGGTTAGAGCAGGGGGGGCTGGGAACCAGGACGCCTGGGTTCTCTCCCTGGCTCTGGGAGGGGAGTGGGGGCTGGTGGTCAGAGCAGGGGGGGGCTGGGAGCCCGGACTCCTGGGTTCTCTCCCCAGCTCTGGGAGGGGTGTGGGGGCTGGTGGGTGAGAGCAGGGGGGCTGGGAGCCAGGACTCCCGAGATCTCTCCCCGGCAGGTACCTGATGTTCGTCATGGGGGTGGCGACGCTGATCGTGATGAATTGTGTCATTGTGCTGAATGTTTCCCTGCGAACGCCGAACACCCACTGCATGTCTGAGCAACTCAAACATGTGAGCGTTGGGGGCAGAGCACAGTGGGGAGATGAGGGGGATCTGGGGGGAAGTGTCAGGGGGCTGGGGGTGGAGGGAGTGCTCGGGGGCGGTGGGGCTGGAGACCTGGGGATCGGTGCCAGGGGGAATGTGGGGTGAGGGGCACCAGCCTTGGAGGGAAATTGGAGAACCAAGAACCAACCAAAGGGGGAATAGGGATTGGGGAGCGGGGGCTTAGGGCAGGGAAGAGTCCAAGGGCTAAGCCAGGACCCTTAGATCCAGTATCTTAGATGTCTGTAGACTAATGTGAGAAGGATGGGGAATAAGCAGGAAGAACGCGAAATGCTAGTCAATAAACACAACTATGACCTAGTTGTCGTCACGGAGACTTGGTGAGATAATACGCACGACTGGAATATTGGTACAGATGGGTACAGCTTGCTCAGGGACAGGCAGGGGGGAAAGGGAGGTGTTGCCGCCTTATATATTAAAAATGCGTACACTTGGACTGAGGTTGAGCTGGAAATAGGAGACAGACTTGTTGAAAGTTTCTGGGTAAGGATGAAAGGGGTAAAAAACAAGGGTGATGTCATGGTAGGGGCGTACTACAGACCCCTAACCAGGAAGACGAGGTGGATGAGGCTTTTTTTAAACTAATAAAATCATCCAAAGCACAAGACTTGGTGGTGATGGGGGACTTCAACTCCCCAGACATCTGTTGGGAAAACAACACAGCAGGGCACCGATTATCCAACAAGATCTTGGAACGTATCGGAGACGATTTTTTATTTCAGAAGGTGGAGAAAGCTAGTAGGGGAGAGGCTGGTCTAGATTTGATTTTGACAAAGAAGGTGGGTTTGTTTAGTCTGGAGAAGAGAAGACTGAGAGGGGACATGAGAACAGTTTTCAAGTACATAAAAGGTTGTTAACAAGGAAGAGGGAGAAAAATTGTTCTTCTTAACCTCTGAGGATAGGACAAGAAGCAATGGGCTTAAATTGCAACCAGGGCGGTTTAGGTTGGACATTAGGAAAAACTTCCTAACTGTCAGGGTGGTTATGCGCTGGCATAACTTGCCCAGGGAGGTTGTAGAATCTCCATCGTTGGGGATTTTTAAGAGCCGGTTGGACAAACGCCTGTCAGGGCTGGTCTAGGTAATACTTAGTCCTGCCACGAGTGCAGGGGACGGGACTAGACCTCTTCCCCCCCCCCCAGGTGTTCCTAGAGGTGCTGCCACGGTACCTGGGCTCAGCCCTGGAGCCCACGGGGGACCCCTGGGCTGCGCCCCCCACCCGGCGGCGCAGCTCCTTCGCCATCATGCTCAAAGCCGAGGAGTACATCCTCAAGAAGCCACGCAGCGAGATCCTCTTTGAGCGGCAGGGCCAGCGCCATGGGCTCAACAGGACCCCCGCCTGTGGTGAGAAACAACCCCCCCCCCCCGCATGCTGGCTACTGACACCCCACTGCCAGGGGAACGTGTTAGTGTTAATCCTCGGAGCCAGGACTCCTGGGTCCCTGACTCTGCCCCGCCCCCTCTCTCTGCAGACGGGGTGGACGTCGGCGTCACCAGCACCTTGTACAAGAACCTGGCCAGCGCAGCCCCTGAGATCCGGGCGTGCGTGGAGGCCTGCAACTTCATCACAGAGACCATGAGAGAGCAGAATGCCAGCAGCGCGGTGAGTCCCACACCAGCCTGCCCCAGCACCTGGGGGGCAGATTGGGGCTGGAGCCCCCTACAGGGGAAAATCCATGGGTCCTAGCTCCTATTCTGACTCTCTTAATCTATTCCACCAGCCCCCAGGCCCCTCCCAGAGCCAGGGAGAGAACCCAGGAGTCCTGGCTCCCAGCCCCCCCTGCTCTAACTCACCAGTCCCCACTCCCCTCCCAGAGCTGGGGAGAGAACCCAGGAGTCCTGGCTCCCAGCCCCCATGCCCCTCCCAGAGCCAGGGAGAGAACCCAGGAGTCCTGGCTCCCAGCCCCCCCCCACTCTCCTCCCAGAGCCGGGGAGAGAACCCAGGAGTCCTGGCTCCCAGCCCCCATTCCCCTCCCAGAGCCAGGGAGAGAACCCAGGCGTCCTGGCTCCCAGGCCCCACCTCTCCTCTCCCCCCTCCTCCAAGCGCAGGGGACCTAGGCGTCCTGACGCCCCTCTCTCTGCCACGCAGGAGATGGAGAACTGGGTGCTGGTCGGGAAGGTGATTGACAAGCTGTGCTTCTGTGCCGCCATCCTGCTCTTCACTATCGGCACCCTCGGCATTTTCCTCATGGGGCATTTCAACCAGGTGCCAGACAACCCCTTCCCCCTGCAGCCGGACCCGTAGCCGGGACCCGGCCCTGCCCTCACCCGCAGGGGTATCGACACACAATGAAGTAGCCATGCGGGCGAGTGTGATGTCTGGATGGGAGCCCCCTGCCCCACAGCACCCCCTAGCAGCTTGTCCCAGGGCCAAACATACCCTGGGGAAGTCACTCGACTTTTACCCACTGCCCCATCCCAAGCAGCTGCAGGCACCGCTACAGAGCTGGGCTCAGAAATGCTGCTGGTACGGGGGAGGGACGCCCCACCCCAGACGCATCTCAGCACTGGGCGAGGGATCTCTGTATAAACAGCTGCCCCGTCCCGCCCCAGACACAGAAGCATCTCAGCACTGGATCCCTGTATAAACAGCCGCCTCCCACACCAGACACAAACGCATGTCAGCACCGGGCGAGGGATCCCTGTATAAGCCCCACCCCAGACACGGACGCATCTCGGCACTACATGAGGGATCCCTGTATGACCAGCCCCCCACATCCCACCCCAGAGGCAGCTGCATCTCAGCCCTATGACTCTCCCCTCCAGACCAGCAAGGAGATTCTGGGGATACGGCTCTTTGGAAGTAGCTCTAGTCACAGCACCTGCTGGGCTAGTGTAGATGGGCCCTGTGGCTTCCTTGCTCCCAACTCCAGAGCAGGCCGCCCCACATCTGGTCCCACCTCACGTGGCTGGCACCCTGGGTGTGTGAGATGAACGTGATCACACACCAGCTCAGTCAGCTGCTCCGGGCCGGGGGTTAACCTGCATGCCGCCTAGGGTCACCCACAGTCTGCTGCTTGGTGCCAACCCCCTCCCCAGCACCTCCCTGAGGAAGCCACCCTCTGTTCCCTGTCTCCCTTCGCTGCTCGCTTCTCCGGCAGGATGGCCGTCAGCCAGCCCCACACGCTGCCCGAGGGGCAAAGCCCCCAGGGGGTGCAGCCTACCTGCACTCAGTTCCACCGGCACAGGGTGAGGCGGTAGGGACCTGAGCCCTGCACATTTCGTTAAAGCAAAGCAGAAGCCAGCAGAGGTAAATACAGAGCGTGCTTTGGTAGCCCGGTCCCAGCTGGTGCCATGGCTGGCTGAGGTTGCTCGGTCCTGGAAAGATGGGGCCAGCAATTTCACTTCCCTTTTGTCCACTCCAGCAAATAAAGTCATGCGTTTTAACCCAGCGGGCATTTCCAGGCATGCTTTTATGATTGCTATGCAGGGCAGTGCCCGACCTGACTGAGGATTGCTGGCCAGGGGCTGCCACAGGGCTAAAAAGCTGCTGGAGATAGGTGTCTCCCTCCGAACTCTCTGGGGCAGATCAAGGGAGGAGCTGGCAAGAACCTAACAAGAAGAAATTCCGCACTCAGGCGGAAGATGTGAACTCGGCAGGGGGCTCCCACGTGAGGCTAGGACACAGACAGCCTTTGGAGAGAGACAGGTCTCACCTGGGACAGAGCGAGAGAACCAAGATGGCGTGGCCAAGACAGGCAGTGTCCGAACCTGCGCTTCTCTACGCTTACGTCAGTAATAAACCCTGCTCTGCTCTGGGTCCCTGCAGAGCGGACATGGCTCTCACAGGGCAGAGCTCGCCAGGTGAAGCAGGCTGGAGCCCTGAGGCGCAGGTGACCCTTGGGGGTCTGACCCACTGAAGGCGTTCCTCCCAGGGACTGTTTATCCTGTAGATCCGCGAGACGCTGCTGCAGAGCGTTACCGAGGTGTCTTTCCTCCCCGCCCCCCAAAGCAAACGTGCCCGTAGGACCATGATCAGTTTACTGAGTTCAAAGCAAATAGAAGGGGGAGAGACAAGATAAAAACCTCGGCCCAACGCACAGACCTACACCTCGCACGCGGGTCGGCCATTGCTACCCGAGGGGTTGCGTTCCACGGTACTGGCCCAGTCTTGCCCCCCCCCCCCAATAAATAATCCAGAGCCGTCTGGAGCACCCCACCCCAGTCCAGACAGAAGCTGTGCCGTCCTCCCCGCCGCTCCTTTCACGTGATTCAGGGAACAGGAAAGAACTGTGATGTGACTGACACCAAACACACAGGAAGGGGAGGGGCACCAGCCAGATCCTTGCTTTGGACCCGGTGAGAGCCGGGTCTGGTTCCCCGGCGGAGGCGCTGCGGTCTGGGGAGGGGGCGCCCAGCCACGGCAGGGCAGGGCAGGGCCTTCTCTTAGGCACTGAGGAAGAACTTCTTGTAGAATTTGTTCATCTGCTCGAGGAAGATGAAGGTCAGGACCGTGTGGGGACCCAGGCGGGCGTAGTAGGGGGTGAAGCCCTTCCAGAGGCTGAAGAACCCCTCGTAACGGATGACTTTCAGCAGCACATCCTGGAATTCAGAAAGCAGAGGTCAGTACACGGCGGACAGTACTCCAGGGCCACCCCGTGCCGGCTCCGGCCGGCTAACGCCCCTGCACCGGCTAGTCGCTCGAGCAAGCGGTGGGGAGGCAGGACTCCTGGGTTCTAGTTCTGCTTCTGTCACTGACTCTGTAGCCTCCAGAAAGCCACTTCTCAATCTCTCTCTCTCTGCCTCAGTTTCCTTCGCTGTACAACCATGCCTGAGCCTCCTTTAATGAATAGCAGCAGAGCACTGTCAGTCCCACGGCTTTTCTCCCACGTCCCATCTCTGACAGGCCACTGCCCCCCAGTGGCCAGATGGATTCAGGACAGGTGAAGAGACGCCCATCCCCCTCTCACACGGCGCAGCCTGCGTATATTTAAGGAGGATGCCACGCTGAACGTGACCATCGTAGGCCTTCACTTGACTGTCATCCTGCGTCCCCTTTGCTTTCCCTAGACACGGGCATTTGGAGAAGTGTTTTCTCCCCTGCCCCAGTGACACCGATTCACACCCTGGGTCCACCAGGTGAGTGGCTCCGAGTTCAAAGCCTGATCCGAATGTTCCTCCACACCCATGTCCTGTTCTCCCTGGCAGCTGCAAGGTAAGGCGACCGGAGGGGCTCCCTGCCCAGCGGGAGACTCCGAGATGGGGCAGCAGTAAGAATTCCTGAACTGACCACCACAGAGCGAGAGTTCACTGAGGGAAACGTCCTAGCCGCGCAGTAGGGGCTTAGAGCCCCCTGTATCTGGGCTGAGGCGATGGACTCCATGGGCCCGGGCCCACTCTCACCATCAAACATTTACACTTGAACTTCTACAGCTTCCAGCCCTCGGGCCAGGTTCAACCTTACTAAATATCTGTTCCCTGCGTCAGTACTTACAGACCGGGATCCGTCACCCCTTCGCCGCCTCTTCCCTAAGCTCATTGAGCTCCTGGAGTCTCTCACTCGCAGGCAGGGTTTTTAATCCTTCTCCTGGCTCTTCTCTGACCCCTCTCCGATGTAATCACCCTCCGGCCGGAACTGTGGGCACCGTCTGGGCCCGATCCAGCAGTGAAATCGCCTCTCTGCCCCTACGCGAGATTCCCACTTACGCAGCCCGGGATGCCGTTCGCCCTTCTGGTCACAGCGTCGATTATCCACCCCGCCCCCAATCTGACAGCCCCCGTCCATTTCCCCATGGCCGGGAGGGAAGCACAGCTGTGCTATCAATAGAAACCTGCCCATGGAGCGGCAGCGTGAACCCGCCCTTTGGACACAGGAATATTCCTCAAAGGAACCCAACACCCCAAGGGCCCAAGACGGCGGATCCCAGCACCTCCCCTGTCTCCAGCTGTCACTTACCAGCCCATTCTTGTACTCCGGCTTCCCGTCTATCATCCGCATGTTCTGAATCCTGCGTGCCCGGGGGAAAGGGAGGGGAGGAAGCTTTAAGCCAGCAGCAGGCGCTCAGCAGGTGACTGCCACTTATTTATACCCCGAGATCAGTTTCCACGTAGCTAGGGATCAAGGGTGGATCTGGGACACAGGGAAGCCTGCAGCCCAGACCAGCTTGCCCTGGGATCCCTGCAAGCTAAGCAAGTCAAGTCTTGAGATCCGCCCCCAGAACTGGTGCACTATGGGTAATGCTCCCTATGTATGCATCCCTGCCCCTGGAGGAGGGGGGAAGAGTTCAAATCCCGTGGCCTGTTCGCTGCTGACGGGGCGATTCCCTCCCGTGGTGATGGGCACTGCGGTCCCGTTAGGGCTGAGAACTCACCAACTCAGCTCACAAAATACCCACAAGGCAGAGATGGATTCCCCCCGGCCACACAACCCTCCACTCCCTATTCCTGACCATCGCCGTGCCCCCCTCAACCATCCCAGGCTGTGCCGAGGGCACACCCAGCGCTCCTGCCACTCGCCTGGTCTTGGCGATATCCACCGGCATCGAAGCAGCGGTGGTCACCAGCCCGCTGATCATACTGGCACAGAAATGGCAGAAGATGTTGTCTCGGAAGTAACCTAGAGAGGAGGGAGAGGGGGGATTTTAGGACCCCCCTGGAGGTCAGAGCTAAGCCGTTCAAGCACCCGTCTCACTGAGACTCCTGGGTTCTCTCCCCGGCTCTGGGAGGGGTGTGGGGGCTGGTGGGTCAGAGCAGGGCGGGGCTGGGAGCCAGGACTCCTGGGTTTTCTCCCTGGCTCTTCCACTGAGATACTGGGAAGCAGCCCCGCCCCCAATCTGTGTTTCAGTCCAATGTGGGTAACACTTAACTACCTCCTGGGGGGCAGTCAGGACTGGTTAGCAGGGGACATGCACCAGCATAACGGCATGTTGGTTGGCTGGAGTGCGGTGCTATCCCTCAGCCATGCGTTTTATGTCAGACACAACGTGACCAGGACTTACCGGAGCCTAGCAAGAACTGCTTGGACTGAGAGTAGGAGGCTAACTGGGCAGCATTCACAACTACCGCTCTGGCCATGGTGGGGACACAGCCCTGCAAGGCAAAGAGAGGAGGGGCAGTTAACGGGGGAGGGGGGGGGATGACACGGGAAACACCGTGCAGTCATGAGGATGGGGAATCTAAGCGCTTGCCTTGCATGAGCAGCAGATGCCTGCCACAGACTAACACCCCTTCCGCCCCCTGAACGTGTTTGCCCATCGGCTGTGTGGCATTACACCCCATAGTAATATGATGATAGGATTATGGCATATCTATGATGTATTTTATGCAAGATACAGCCTGTATAATGTCATTGAAACAGTTATAATTCACTGACTACGATTATCCTATTTGTATGCATGTATCATTTGGGTATCTGGAGTTAAGAATATTGTTTCTGCATCTATTACAAATGTGTTTGCACCTGGGGAACGCCCACCAGACAGAATGCAATCAGGCGAGATGGCTGGCTGGGAACAAGTCAACGGACCATTCGGGAGAACAAAAGGTCTGAGAAGATGCTGATCTCCCCCTGGGGAGGTTTAGGGTTATGGTACTGGACTCCATCTTGGAATGCCAGTATTTTTCCACTGAGGGGCGTGGGAACCAAGTTTGAAAACAAAGGGGTTCCCGCCCTATGCAAAAGCAATTTAAGGCAGGGAAGTGGCATCCTCCTGGTTCTTCTTCACTGCCTCCCCCTCCAAAGGAGACGCTCGGAAACACCTGAGAAACAAGGACTGGACTCAGGGAAGAAGGGAGGGACCCAGGCGCGAGGGATTTCTAGCCTGTGAAAGGAATCCCTGGAGTTTTCAGCTGCAAGCAAGTGCCACTTGCCTTCAAGAATCTCTGCAATCCGCCTAAAACAGCATTTGCTAGACAGCTCCAATTTCTTCAGCATGTTCAGTTTAGATTGTTTGTGTTTATTTACTAGGTAATCTGCTTTGATCTGTTTGCTATCACTTAAAATCCATCCTCTGTAGTTAATAAACCTATTTTTGTTTTGTTTAAAACCAGTGTGTGGCAGTCACAACAGGAGGCAAAAAGATGTCTATATTCCCCTCCACAGTGAGGGAGGGGGCGAATTTCATGAACTTAAGCTGTACAGTTCCCGGTGCAGCGCAAGACGCTATCATTTTGGGTTTACCCTCGGGGGGGGGGGTGCACTTGAGTATATGGGCAGCCCCTTAGCTGAAGCCTTCCCCTGCAGAGCTGATCTCAGCGTCTGGGCCTGTTTCTGCAGCTGGTGTGTCCCTACCTGTGTGAATGCTGGTGAGTGAGAGACCAGGAGCACGTCTGCAGCTTGTCACAGCATTACAGGGTGAGTGGGAGCCCAGGCTGGTGGGTCAGGCAGGCTCGGTGGTACCCCGGGGGGGAACCCATCACAGGCTGATCCCACAAACCCAGCTGCCCCCCCATCTCCCAAACGAATTCTCCCGGGTGCATCTGCCGCCGGGCCTAGCCCTCCAACGAGCGCCGTACCCGCCAGAGTGTCAGCACGCCCTCTTCGCGGGTTATCCTCAGCAGCGCGTTGAAGACATTGCTGTAGCCTCTCCTCTGGTCGGGGGGCAGCCTGGGAACAGGAACAGAGGAGGGGAGCAAGGGGGCAGTTCAGAGGCCCAGACCCCTCGGAGCATGGCCTAGTGGGTTACAGCAGCAGCCTGGGGGCACCAGGTTTCTCATGGGGGCTAGCAGCACTGCCGCCAGGCGAGGAAACAGCCGCATTACCGCACTGCATGCAGTTCAACCCCGCTCACCTGCCGTCCGCCGTCATCCTGATGAGCGCCACCTCAGCCGGCGTGCCCACGAAGGCCCCGGTGGCCCCGGCCGTCATGCCGATCCCCGCCTTCATGAAGAAGTTGGGCGGCGTGCCGTCCGCCTTGGTGAGCTTCTCGAAGAGGATGGTGTAGATGCCCAGGCGGGTGGTGGTATAGGTCGCCTGTCTCAGAAGCCCTGCCGACAGCCTGCCAAGGGCAGGAGGGTTATGGGCCTGTGTGGTTGCTGGACACCTGGGAGTCAGGACGCTTGGGTCCTCGGCCCGGGGCCAGCTCCGCAGCAACCATGAGAATTAGGTGCGTTTGCTCACAGGGCCTGAGGCCGGCCAGTCCAGCGACACAAAACAGGCGTCTCCCGGCTGCACGCACAGCGATGGCTGCCCGCCAGCCCCACGCGTGCCCTGGGCCTCACGAGCACCCAGCGCACTGGGGAAAGGAGCAGAACTGACAGACGTTAACGCTCTCTACCCATTTCCCACGGGGCCACTCAGCGCCCGCCGCAGGCAACGATCCCGGTCACTACAGAGCTGGGTCTGTGGTACAAGGTGTAGCCTAGAGGGGAAAGGCCCCATGTCCCATTCCCGGCCCCCCCCCAAAGCCACCTGTCCCCTGCCTTGGGGACGGATCCGAGCCGGCGCCCCCTAACCTGCCTCCCATTCCCCACCTGCCTGAGCCAGCCAATCTCCCACCCTGGGGCTGACCCCCGTAGAGGGGAACGGCCCCATGTCCTGTTCGTCAACCCCCTGTGCCAGAACAAAGGCGCCCCCAATCACCCATCCCCTCATACCCAGTGTAGATGCCGCGGACGCCTTCCTTCCTGAGGATGCTCCTGACGGCGTGAAAGCTGGTTTTGTACTCTTTGGTCTTGGCCCCTTCGCCACTCAGCTGCATGCGGTTCTTCACCAGGTCCAGGGGCTGCACGAAGACAGTCGCCCCCATGCTGTGGGGCCACAGAGAGTATTTGACAAAGGACAAAATGGAGAGGACCGGCCTACATGGTGCAGTTAATGAGGATCTAAAGCGATCATCTGTATTGGGATAGCGCCCTCATGGATCAGGACCCCACCGAAGAGCTGACAACCAAAGCTTTGGGGTAATATTCGCCTCCGTTTCTCACAGGGGCCCTGACAGTCAGTCCGCTCCACTAGCCACTCCTCACAAAGCCCCAGCTCTACCCACTACAAACACGCAAGTGGGAATAGCCAGCTTGCCAGGAAGCGACTGCCACAGCCGTCCACAGCCTTCAAATCATCAGGTCCAAAATTCAGACAGCCAAACAACTCTCGGACGCACGCTCCGCTTTGGACTCTGACCCACGCGGAAGAGGGGGAGGAGACGGTGCTTATTTATTGACCCCACAACCCCCGATTTCGAGAAGAGATTTAGGAAGCAGTTACTAACAGAAAACACTCGCCTCGCTTGCTTTGGACAATCCAGAGGTGGCACAGATTTACGGAGGATGGCATGAAGGGGCCCCCTCAGACGCATGGGGTAGAAAACTCTAACCAGTGCCCTACTGAATATGAAAGATTTTAGCCCGTTCTCGGATTCCCCTGGGCTAGCTGGTCCCCATTCCCGAGAGGGAAGAGACCCTGTATCCTCCTGGAGCCAGCCACTCCCCCCGGAAGCTGCTCCCTAGAGGTGCAAGGGTCCCAGGCAGCCAGATGCTAATAGCACATTTGCTAGGCACATTCTGAGGAGGATTAAGAGAGAAATAGCAGCTAACGAGGGGCCCCTTGTCCCTCTCAACCCTCCTAGTCAGGCTAAATCCCGGCCCCTCCTGCCCAAGGAAACCCTCAGGCCGCAGCAAGTGGATTAAAATTTTTGGCCACGGCAAAGTGGCCAACACCAGGCTTTGCTACACATGTAATCCCCATGCTGTGCCAGTGTGCCAAGTTTTGAGCACAGAACCCAGGAGTCCTGACTCCCAGGCCCCCTGCTCTAACCCACCAGCCCCCACCCCCCTCCCAGAGCCGGGGAGAGAACCCAGGAGTCCTGGCTCCCAGCCCCCCCTGCTCTGACCCACCAGATCTCGCTCCCCTCCCAGAGGTCCTGTGTCTCCAGGGCCATGGGGTGTTTGAGAAGAGGTAGGAATTGAGGAGAAGGTTGCATTTGGAAAGGGGACATGGCCATGCAGGGCTCTAGGAGCACTCCCAGTCCCAGCAGGGAAGGAGATCGGGCAATCCCATACCCACGGGGTATCTTCCCATCCCCAGGAGGACCCCATATTGAGAGACTAGGGCTCAGGAGGTGCAGTCGAGCACACTGGGGGTGTCTCTGATGGTGTGAGGGATGGGCTGTGGGGGGAGCTCTGGCAGGTGTAGGAGGGGTTGTGGGGAGGGGTCACAAGGGATCAGGGCTGAAGGGGGTCTCTATGGGGAGATGGGAGAGAGATCACACAGGAGGTGGGGGAGGGGCTCTCAGGGGGTCTCTGAGGAGGACAGGGAAGCGGCTGTGGGGAGGAGCACTGTGGGGGAGGGATCACATTGCAGGAGGGTCGGACTGAGGGGGTGGGGGAGGGGTCACACTGAGGGAGAGGCGTGCTGGGGGTGGG